AGATAAAATATTGCCGATTTGAGAGTGTTCTACATGGAGGGTGACAGAGATAAGCAGCTAAGTAAACCATACAGATCAATCTGTCTTTTCCCTGTGATGAGCAAGGTCCTGGAGTATCTAATACTAACCAGCCTGCGACCGGCACAAGATAGAGCTACCCATTTTGCCATCTATGACTAAGTGGATCCACCACAGATAAGGAAATCGCCTATGTCTTGCTTCAAGTACACCGCGATGCTTAGAAGTATGCCATGAAATACTTCAAAGACACAAAGTAATGTTACTTTTGTTTGACATACTCCTCCCGAAATGGCAGGTGAGAAAGCCTAATCGATACTTCTAAAGGTTCTGATACTGCTTGGGCTCACACTAACCTCATCAGAGTTCTGGCAATGACCAGATTCTCCACTCAAGTCCTTAGTGTCTATTCCTGTAATGCCCTCTCTCGGTCTTCACTAGTGATGCCCAAATGCGAGACCGAGACGAATCTTGCTTGGTCTTGCTAACTCATTCTTGGTCTTGCTCAAGACTCTCGTAACAGTCTTGCAGTTGCCTATTAGCTTATTACTAGAGATAAATTACTGTGATTTTTTAGATATGAGAAACCTAACTAAGTCTGAATGAAAAAGTAGAAGAGTTAAATCCAAAAGTATAATGGTTACACCAATTCTTTATATATAGTAAGTAAAATTGTCAAGTATTAGTAACTAATTTTTATTCAAAAAATCGATTTTTTTTACCAGTCTGGGTCTTGGTCTTACAACAGATAGCCGGTGTTGGTCTTATACCTTGCAAGACCAAGACCGATTTTGGGCAACACTAGTCTTCACTGGCTTCCAATATCAGTGAAGCGGCTGGAATCTGCCAATAGTCCTGATTTGCCTTCCATATTTGGAGGACAAAGCTTGAGTTGGTATCCTTCGCGAACATAAATATTGTACATAGGTATAACTGTATTTTATTTATTCTCGGTTTTATCTGTAGTTCTATTATGTTCTATAAGTTTTACTATTTTATCTATATTTTTATATATAAATTCTAGTCTTTTATTTTTTCCTTACTTAAATTATTTATATTTATTTCCTTTTTATATATACATATTGTATGAATGAACTATTTTAGCCCTAATGTTTGTTGCACCTCAATGTGGCATATTGTGTCATTACTCAATAAATTTGTAAATAAAAAAAAACATTTATTTATAATATCTCAATACAGTGAGTATTTTTACACGTATCTAGGTTTATGTATTGATAAACAATACATACTTAGGTATATAGATAAAAATAAACTAAGAAATAAAGAGACATAGATATGGAAATGTAGCCCCCTTGGAGAAAGCTCTAACCCCACTCGTAGTGTACAGCCTCAACTACCCGGCTGAAAATTTACTGTCGTACCTTGTGCTCAATGGCCGCTTCTGTAATATTTGTCCGCCTCGTATCTTATTTCGGAAACTGTATTTCCCCTATATTTAATACCGTATATTCTCAATAAAGAACCAGCGCAATATACAGTGTGTGTGTGTATGTGTGTATGAGTGTATGTAATTTTGTATGTGTGTAAATTTAATAATGTTTTCACAATAAAAAATATGCTTTAAATATTTTTAAAAAGTTTATATATATATATATATATATATATATATATATATATATATATATATATATTTTTGACGATAATTTATATAAAAAGAAGTTTTAGTAATTTTAATTAACCAACTATAATAAAGAAATAAAGTTTAACAATAAAAGAATTCCATATTACAATCGCTGTTTTAATTTCAATCAACAAAACAAAAATCAATGAAATAACCCTATTTTCGACAATTAACTTCGTAGAGCATAGATTTTTAAATTTTCCGGATTCCTAACTCTAACTTGTTAATGTTGCCAAAAATCGGTCTTGCTCTACTACTTCGCAAGACTGTTGCAAGCTGTAGACCAAGACTGAAAAAAAAAATCTTTTTGTGAATAAAAATTTAGGCGAAATGTTTACTAATACTTGTAAATTTTAGTAATTGCATGTAAACAATTGGTATAACCAATATACTTTTGCATTTAACTGTTCCAATTTTTCATCCTTAAGTTTGAATGTGTTTTAAATTTTAATGTGTTTTTATTTATTTATTTATTTATTTTTTCTTATTTTTTTTTTATTTTAGTTTTTATCTAATGTTGTATCATGTTTGATTTATTCTGTTACTCCAAGTTTTATTTTATTTTATTTTCTTATAATCTTGTTGTTCTTTTATTGTATATACGGTATGATTGTACTTCATTCATCATAAATACTCAATACCCTTAATTGAGGTAAAATGTATTTTTTTCTCAATAAAAATTGTTCATTAAGTTCTAAAAAAAAAAAAAAATTCATCCGGGCTTAGTTAGGTTTCCTCTATCTGAAAACTAACAGTAATATCTCTATAGTAATGGGTAACTGTAAGACTCCATCAAATTCCTCTCGCATCCAATCCCTACAATCCAAAATCCTTCGTATAATCCTTAATGCTCCCTACCTTGTCACAAATAAAATCATCCATAATGACCTTAATGTACCATATGTTTTCGATTTAGCTCAATCCAGATACCTGTCCTTTCATAATAAACTTCTGAACCATCCGAACATTCTCGTTTCCAACCTTGCTTCCTCTTCTATACCTGATAACCCTCCGAGGCGTCTGAAAAGAAGATGGCCTCGGGACCTTCTAATATAGAAATATAATTGGAGTGCTACCAATGGGTAGTTTCTCCTCATGTGGTACATGCCATATTACTTGTTCATATTTACTTGTTGTATTTATTATTAATTACAGTTGGAAATTTCGTTAATAAAAAAACAAAAAAAATTGCCAGACTCTTGCGAGACTCTTGCGCAACACCAATACGATACTACTGCTTGTCTCTTTTAATAAACAACACACCTAATTTTATTTTTATTTTTTTTTTTATTGAAGTGCTACCAATGTACAGTTTCTCTGCAAGTATTTTCATGCCATTTTCTGTGATACATGTACTAGATGTATTTTTATTTTGATACAGTCGTAAATTGCATAAATAAAAATAAAAACCCCGGACCGTCCCCCTTACTCAATAAAAATAAAAGTTTTCTTCTTGTAGCAGTTTATTTGTACTTGAGGTGAAGAAACGTAATTTATTAAGAAAAAAAAACTGACTACTAATAAGTATTTCTTTTTGCAATAAAAATATTTCAAACGATGAAAAATTGTAATTTTCAGAAACTAATAATTTAATTTTAATTCAAAACATGTCGTATACTAATCCATTAGCGTTTTATTTATATTGTTCGTCTGGACAATTATTTTATTTTCTTACTAGTTGTATTGGTTTATGAAAAAAATGAAGTGTTTATAATATATATATATTTCCATTGAAGAGAATGGTTGGGGTGATCAAACAAAATAAAAAATATTAAATACAAATAATTATATTTATTTATATATATATCTATTATTTCCTTATATAACTTCATTTTTCTTTTCTCTGTTTTACATTTTATTCTAAGATTAGCATTTTTCATTTCTTATGTTACCTTATTTTGATTATTTTTATTTCATTAGTTCGTACTTTGTAGCCGTTATTATTTATTTCTTATTTCTCTGTTACTGTTATTATTCTAATTAATTTATTTTACATTAATGTTCACTCTATCTATTTTGTTTTACTTTAAGGTTATTCTACCTACATTTTTTATTCTATACAATTCACATTTTTAAATTTAATTCTTTATTATTCAATGTTTATTGTTTCTCATACCTATTGTTATCTGTTTTTTTCTTAGCCCTGATGAAGGCCTAAACTTCGGGACAAAACGTCGGTAAATATAATTATTTATTTCTAAATTTTATTGTTTGATTGATCACCCCAACCATCATGCTCTTCAATTATTGACTACAATCAACTATCAATCCACAATTATATATTTCTATTTTTTTTATTCAGAACTGTTTAAAGGCACATTCGTGGAAAAAGGAAAAAAAAGAAATTAAAAGAAAAAAAAATGAAAAAATAAATAAATAAAATAATATAAATAAATATTCTTTTATTTTATTTTATTGAAATTTAAAACTGTATTACATGGAAAATACAATAAGTAAATGTGACATTGGTAACATGACATGTACAACATGAAGAGAAACTAACCATTGGTAGAACTCAAATTAAAGTTCTATATTAGAAGATCCCGAGGCCATCTTCTTTTCTGACGCCTCGGAGGGTCATCAGGGATCGAGGAGGAAGCAAGGTTTGAAACGAGAGGACTCGGATGGTTCTGCAGTTTGTTATGGAAGGATAGGTATATGGATTGGGCCAAATCGGAAACATACGGAACATTAACTTCTTTATGGATGATTTTATTTGTGACAAAGTAAGGAGCATTGAGGATTTTACGAAGGATTTTGGATTGTAAGGATTGGATACGAGAGGAATTCGATGGTTTAGTGGAGCCCCAAAGCTCAATACGGTAAGTCCAAATAGGTCTTATTATTGTCATATATATGAGTCCTTTGTAATTGATTGAAAGCTTAGAGCGTTTGTCTAGTAAGTGCTGCAGTAGTCGAAAACGTCGGGCAGTTTCTAGTCGTTTGAGTCTGATATGGGGGTAAATAAATAGTAAATAATAAATATAAATATAAAAAAAAATATATTTATTTCTATATTTTGTTAATTAACGTATGGGTTTTAAGGAAACTTATAATTGCTTTTATGTTTTATTCATTATTATTTAACATCACTAGAAAATGAATTTTATTTTAGTTGTATTGTTGAACACTTGGAAACTTTTTATGCATATTCAGGTTTTATTACTGCATATTTTAAGGTTTTTTTATTTCATATTGTATGGAATATTCTGTGGGTTTTTTACTGCATGAAAATTGGGACTCTGGTAATTACTGTGTGATATAGTTTGCAATCGTTTTTTTTTCGTTGATTTAAATAATATAATTATGATTTAAATAATAATAATAAAAATAAACTTACAGTTTTTGCTATCCTCTTAATCTGCCTGCTCCCCTTCCACCAAGTAATGACAGCTACCGGGCGAGACCCGGTCGCCTTGCATTTGATCTCGTACCTCTTGTCAGCTGATATGTGTCTTTCTTTTTTCAGGATTTCTACGGAGATAGGTTTCACTGGAAAAAAAAAATCATTAAATTAAATGAGGATACAGAATGGCTCTCTTAAAATGTCTTATGAAACATATTAGCCCATTTTCTTTTAATTCTAGCCCACATTATAACATGGAAAGTTACAGAAGGCCGAACTGAGAAAGAGTGGGGGAGGAGGAGAGAAGAATCATGTTAAGATATAGTTCATAGGAAATATTTCAGTCGTCCCTATATTTATTGTTGCCTTCATAGAAATAGCATCACCCAGTAAAAAGTTTACTAAATTTAGCAAAATTTTATTCACCAGATGCTATCTACTATACTTGTACCCCATCCTCGTTGCTATTTGCACTAAAAATTCCTTCACTTCATGTTACCATTTTAATATTTTCTAAAAAGGATAGTTTTTAGAGACAGTCATCATGGCAGTTAAAACTGAACTGAGAAACATTGTTTAAGTTTTCTTGTAACCTAAATAAATAAATAAAAAAAAAAAAAAAATTCAACGAATCAACGTAATCAAAATAAGAATTAAAAGAAATAGGTGGTGCAATTTAAATGACCGTGACTGTACATTACGAATAAATATGAATTATTTCTTTCTTTACAAAAATATAATATTATTTGATCACGACTGTTTTTATTTAATTATAATTTTAAAATACAAAGTTTCGGCTAGCACTAGGACCATTTTTAATTTCACAAAAAGTAAATAAATAATAACTTTGATAATTACATAAATAAATATTTAAAAACTACAATTCATATAAAGGTTGTCTAAGTTCTTAATGGCCAAGATCTGGGAGGTGGTTCTAGAAGAAATCAAAAAAAAAAAAATTCATTTGATGTATGAGCCTATTTCGAACTGAAAATGAGACAAGTTCCATGTTGTCTTTTCTTAAAGTGGTCACATTTTTTCTTTCTTTGGAAGCGAAAACACAAAATTATTTGATTCAGGTAATTATAAATAGTTCCATAGTAAACTAGAGAATTTTATTTTAAAAATACAAGTAGAGTTTGTCTTAGTCAAAATAACTTAAAGTGATTTTGTGAGCACATAACTACGCAAAGTTGTGTTTTTCATTAAATCATGGTTAATTCACGATTTTTTTTTTCTCCAAAAATTAAACTGAAGATAACCCACTTTCACGAAAAATTCCTTGTTTAATACTTCGTTTAATTAATAATTCATCGTTAAAATTAATAAGCTTTAATTTTACATGAATTTATTTCAGATTTATTTTTTAATAGAATTGAGATTCACTTCCATTTCTTTAAAAAACTATGTGACTGAATATTCTGTCATTCCAAAAGATCTGTAATTTCAGCAAAAATAACAGCTGAAAAATTATTACAAAATTTTAATCCCTTCTTTTTCTTGTGACCTAAAATCTATTTTAGCAAATACTTAATTACGAATATACACTTTTTATTCATTAAAAAAATATATTAATGTGACAACATTAAAAGAAGTCTTAATTCGTTTCCCGTACGAAATCGGCTTGTACATCAAATGAATTTTTTTAATGGAAATTTTGTCTAAAATTAACTCCCTGAGTTTGGCTGTTAAGAATTGATACACCCTGTATAAACTTGCTACTTTTTATCTGCTCATTATATCAATTTCAGTAAGCGATTATGAAGTATTTTAAAATTATAAAATAAATAAAAACCATGGTAATCAAATGCTCTTATAATTGTATTATTTTATTTAATAAAATATTGAACTTGAATTTAATAAATCATTTTACTTTCATTATAAATATTTTAATTTTCTTTTTGGTAATTTTTTTTTTCTTTTTCTGATTAGACGACTAGTTATACCTTTCAGTGTAGAGTATTTTGTGCAGAGGCAATATAGTAACCAATGAAGACCTGCTGAGAAACGATTATTGCCACAAGACACTATTAAAACATGCTTTCATTGTATTTCTTAAGACTCTTATAAAAAAGAAATATCCAGTAAAACTTTTATTAATCATTTATTCATCATTTCATCTCAACCGTCATAACAGTAAAATAAAAAAACACAAACAATCATTAACCTATTAGTAATCATTACATTTAATAACTAATTATTTCGAAGGAAAATATTAATAGAAAAACAAATATTTAATAGCATAATTATTAAATAAAAACAAAAATTTAATAGCATAGTCACCACATTTTATTAGATAAAAAAATTTTAGTAACTTTAACTGAGACGGTTAGTTTTAGATGTATAGGAGAAGATTAAATTTACTTAACTACGGATATTTGAATAATTATTATATGGTAATACAGAAACAATATATATTTTAGAAAAAATCAACTGTTTGTTTTTGAGTAGATTGTAATTTTATTTTAATTAACATGTCTGAGTTAAATAAGACAATTAGTACTTCGTATATTTTGTTCAACTATATCTTGTTTCAATCGTGTTGAAGTTGATTTTATACTTAATTTACATATATTATTGAGTAAATTTACCCATAAATCAATTGCATAAAGTAAGTTGAACTTTGGGAAAATCTACAGTTTTGAGAAACTCAGTTTGACAAGTCAGATGGAAATGATTTGGGAATGCTTTCATATGTAATTGAATCTGGTCGCTCAATTGCCATTAGATGGCAATGAAATGAAGCACTAATAATAGAGAGAACAACTTTATTGAAAGTAGTGCTGCCCTACTATATAGGGATGCTTTTTACACAGCATACTGATGAATCCATATTGACATAGCTCTTACATTATAAACATATAATTTTTTTTTTATCCCTTTTCACAACACTAGTCCATATAGCATATCTTAAACAATTACCATTATACAATGCATATATTTTATGAAAAAAAAAACGTATAAGAATGCTAGAAATGAAAGACTAAATCGCACACAAATATCAAAGCAATTTCTTAAATATAGACAGAAAGATAAGACAAAGTTAAAAAATTAAAATTAAAAATAAATAAATGGATAAATGACAAAGGACATACCAAATTCACAGTCAATCGCTATACAACTGATAGTGGATGATCCCTAGAGAATTTAAAATAATATTCTAGACCAATATCTCAAGCTCCCCAACATCAACACCTAGTTCCTCGAGGAAGCTCCTTGTTTTTTTGGGATCGTTCTGCGAGACCCAAACCGGAGGCCTCTCACGGTGAACTCTCTCTCTCCGAAGATCTCACGGAACATTCGGGAAAGGGATACATTTATCATATATGTTTTTCTTTTCCCTTTCCACTTTACCCGCCTGATCGAATTATCGCATCGTTATTGTATCGATTTCATTCAGTTACACTAATGAATACCTAACATAATACGAAAATAATAAATAAAATTCAAACAGTGCCACTATTTTTTTAATGGTTGAAAACAACTGATTTATCTGTATCAAACACAGTTCATCCTTTAAGAATCAGGATACATAGCACATCAGTCTCCCTAAAATATCAATTAATCTCAACTAGAAATGATAACTTCAAAAAATACCATTTAGTCACCCTAATAATTGGAATTATCCACATTGTGCATTATTAGGAAACTTTTATTTATTTAATATAATTATTTTATTTTAAATACTTACGATTCAAGTCAAGAGTGACATATTTGGTAGAAGGTGGAACGAGATTGGTATTTGAGGCTTGGCAAACCAGCCTGGCGCTGAGATGCTCTCGGCTCACTCTCGGGAACGAAAGGTGATTCACTGTGAGCCCATCTGCTCTTTGCTCATAGGAGTCGTCGATCATGGCGTTCTCCAAGTACCACGTTACCCTTGGTCGGGGTCGGCCTGAAAATAAATATAATGATACAATGATTTACTATTATTATAAATTAATTTCTTTTTGATACATATTATTAAAATAAAAATTTGGTCCAGTACACCACACAATTTTCACTTCCCACCCAATTTTCAGTTAAAAAAGCTTATGAATGTCATTTTAATGTTCAACTAACACCCATGGTAAGAATTTTGTGCAGTATATTATTTAAAGTGTCCCATTTATTTTTCATAAAAAGTTCTGTTAATATTTATGGAAACGTTTATTTCTCATTCAATAAAAGTGGACGTAAACTACATTACTCACAAATTATCAGCTTTTCGTAACTCTCCTTTACCTTCTACGACTTTTTATGTTATATATTAACTTATTTTTAAGTTTTTAAATCAATTTAATAAAACTTTTCATCGATATATTATATCGGTAGATAGAAAATAACTTTATTCTGGGACACAGACCCTTGAGAATAACACAATAGAATAGAATTACAAGATTACATCTGACCGAAATAAAATCAATAGAAAAAAAGAAATAATGTAAAGAAAATATAAGGTAAACATTCTATATACAAAACAAACTATACTATATACAAAACAATTAACCCAATGACAAGACACTTAATGCTATTTGTACTGATAGACCAGTATACACTTTTAAGAAAACAATAAAAAATTAAAATATAAAAATATATTAAATTCTTCATTATAATAAGCTTTGTGTTTCTGTTGAGAAAACAGAAAGCTGAACCTGACAATATAAAGTACCTGATTAATATATAAATGCATTATCATTTAAAAGTTGATTAATATATCAATACATCGTCATCATTTCTTAACATTACAATAGGCAAGAATTTAGTGGAGTATAAAAGATAATAGTTATAAACTTCCAATAGATGCATTCGGTGACATAAAGATTAGAAAAATCTTTACCCTATTAGAAAATTAATATCTCTAGCAAAGAATAGCATTGATGTTTGACAATGAATGACCTGAAATAAATGTATGTTGTTAAATGGTTAGCAACTATCAGACAGTTTTTGGGATATGAGTGTTATGAATGTGGATATGGATGGGGAATGTCGAATTTTGATAGGGAGGGAATTCTAGAAATCGACAGAGCGAGCAATAAAGGAGTTTTGGAATGAGACAGATCTGTGAGAAGGCGTGTAAAGGTTAGAAGGTCGAGATCATGTGGACAGGGAATGGAATGGATATATATATTTTTATTACTACTTTTATATGTTGAACCTACGAAAGTATTTTTCCCATTTTCTCCTTCAGATAATTATGAAATTCTTCCAAATTTCGCCATTTTGTATTAGTACTTTCAATAACAGACCTATTAATAATTTATTTATTATTTCCTTTAAAAAAATGTTAAAGAAAATTTAAAAGAAGAAATTTCAAAAATTCGGCATTTAAGATTCGAAAAAGATGATTTCATTGAGTAAAGGATTCAATTGAGTAGATAAATATATCAGAAACACATAGAAAAGAATCAAGAAATTTAAATAAAGGTTTATACTATTAAATTGTAATCTTTCTAGAGGCAAAGACCATTTGAGATAAAAAAATATCAGAGAGATATGTCCATCGTCAGTTGGAAGTAAAAAAGGAATTGGAGGGGGGGTGGGCGGGAGGGGGTACCTCAAATTATTGTAGCCACCAAAGAGCCTCCCTGATCAAAGTCTCACCAATCATTGCATTCCTTCTCCAACCGGGAAATGACACCATTTTATTTAATTGCCAATTTGTTTCCATACCATCGCCCCTTTGATTACTCAACTCTGAAAAGTTGTTGACAGTTGCCCGCTTGAATTTAATGTATTCTTCTTTCTTCCCTGTCTTTCACAATGAGATCCCCTTTCAAAGGATTTCAAGCGTTTCGCTCTTTGAACCCATTATACCAAAGCGAGATTCAACGCATCAAACCTATAATATAAATATAATAATTCAATATTACATGGGTATATACATACGAAAAAGTTTATGTAATATCTCAGTTATATACAAACCTTAATTATGCAATTTCAATTTCATACGACTTTTCGTTTTTGAGCTATGCCTGTTACATATGTTGGTCGAGTGTATAAGATTAGTGTTGCCCAAATGCCAGACCGAGAAGAGTCTTGGTCTTGCAAACTCAGTCTTGGTCTTGCGCAAGAGTCTCGTTACAGTCTTGCAGTTTCTTATTAGCTTATTACTATAGAGATATTACTGTAAATTTTTAGATAGTAGAAACCTAACTATAAAAGTATATTGGTTATACCAATTATTAACATATAGTAACTTAGATTGGCAAGTATTAGTAACTATTTTGCCTTAATTTTGATTTAAAAAATTGAATTTTGTCCAGTCCTGGTCTTGGTCTTCCAACAGTTAGGTGGCTTTGGTCTTGGTCCTTCACTTTGCACGACCAAGATCGATTTTGGGCAACACTATATAAGATAGAATGGAAAAGTCCGACCGAAAATCGGAACCTGATACAATCAAGAATTATCTTAGTAAAGTACCATTGTAATAGTTTTTTTTATTTTACTGATTTTGTTAAAGACGAGATAGTGTGAAAAAAAACCATATGCAGTATATACTGCTTAATTATTTGACTTCTTACGAATATAACTTATGCAGATATCATTCTTCGAATTTGCACATTTTTACAAATATTTCAAAAACCGCTCCAAAGATTTTAATTAATTATATAAATTATGTAATTAAATAAAAAATTATGCGCGCATTACACAACTTTCACTTACCACCTTCTTCTTAGCAGAAAGAAGTATTTTCAGACAAAGGGGAAGTGAAAGTAAGAATTATAAAACCTATATTGATTTATAATGGAAGGAGATGGTCCGGGGTTGCGGTCTTAAAAAGGCTAAATAGTGGTAAAACTATTGGCTAAAACTAGTGGTAAACTAGGTGGCTTTCAATAAAATAGTTTTACCACTATTTAGCCTTTTTAGGCCCGGGTGAGCTCGGCCGCGTTCGTAACTTATTGGTTCCTTCATTACAACTATTCTCTGTCATGATATCATATTTCTCCTGTAGTTAATTATATAATTCTTTCATATTTCATATTTAACAATATTTATATTAGAGATCTATGTGAAATGGTTAATTGTTTCAAATAAAAATAAAAGGTACTTTAGAGGAAACTAATATTGAAAATTAGCCATTCAAGCCCTATTAGAGAACATCAATGAGAATAAAGTCTACTTAATATTAAAAACTGCTTAATTTTACACTGATATATGAATGAATTTATTAAAAATCATTGGAGCCGTTTTCGAGAAAATTACTAAAAAGTTGCTGTAGCATCTCAGGTATATACAAAACATAAGTATGCAATTTTAATTTCATACGAATTTTCTTTTTTGAGCTATACCTGTCACATACATACAGACACATACACACACACACAGACCATTTTGAGAGGCTTGGTTATTCGGACTCAGGAGACCTCAAAACATGTATTTCCGTTAAAAACTCAGATTTGAAAAATTTCACGATCGCAATACTGTCCCTTACTATATGTTTCATATATAGGTAAGTGAAAGTAAAAACATATGATTATTAATGGTTTTAAATGAATATATTGTACATTCTATAACTTTTACTTCTTCCCCAATAAAAAATTGAGAGTGAGCGAAAATATCGTTTTGGTCCTCGCCCTTCTCCAATATATTGAATAAAAAAAAATTAAATTCAATTACAATAAATCTACATGTATTAATAAACTATGTTGACTAAAATCAATAAATAATATAGAAAAGTCCATTAGATGGCTAAGCCATGGATTAGAAGTAGGTATTTTACCACGCCCTATGTTATTATTACAGATATTTTAGTTGTTATTCAAAATTAATCATGAAGCAACATATCCTAATATTTTATGATTCAATCATTTGCACAATTCCAATTTATGTAAAGATTTCATCACATTTCCTGCAGCAAATTTGTAGTATAAGAGAATTGATACTTCATCTCACTGCCAATTGCTTTGTTAACGTATTTTCATATAAACAGATAATATATATATATATATATATATATATATATATATATATATATATATATATATATATATATATATATATATATATATATATATATAGAGAGAGAGAGAGAGAGAGAGAGAGAGAGAGACAGAGAGAGTATATATAACCTACGAACGTCCGGACGGTAAATAATAAAAAGGAAGAAGAGATACGAAAGAAAATAAGAAACGTTATTTTGCTGCTTACAAAAAAACACTTTATTATGTAATAATCGTTATAAACCTACCAGAACATATAATCATCTGTTTTAATTACCTATTTAATATAATCGGTGTTTTTAATTGTCTAAATAGAATTGAACACAATTTAAGTTTACCACTAACCATAACTTATATATATATAAATTTATTTTTATACATATATTATAAACTTCGTTTTACAATAATTACATATACCGATTATGTTCATTATCACTCATAATTTGTATACATAATATAAAATCCCGAAGCTTTTTGTTAAGGAGGGGAGCATAGACCTCCCCAACCAACATGTAAAGTGAGCACCTATGCTTCAAGCTCTCTTTACATGAAAATATCTGTTTCTGAAGTAAAAGTTGTGAGTGTGATGCATTCACCGTACACGATTTTTATGTTTAATTTAATTATTTTGTAAAAGCTATTTATGATTAAACTTTGAAACTTCATAATAGAAAGAAAACATTCAATTAGAGGATGTGTATGCACCCTCTTGTCACGGAATCCTTATCGAAATCAACGTTTTCGACAACTCTCGACCAGTGAAAATCCTTTGTGTATGGCATATTCTGTCCAACTGTGAGCTGAAAAAGAGGGGCGAGGGAGCTGAATGATGTTTGATAAATGAATCAGGGCTCTGGCTAAATGAGCTGAGAATGACAACCGGATTGATTTATCAATCAACCTTTTCGTATTTTATCCACAACTGCCTATGCTAAACAGTTTCCAGCGCTTTGTTTGACCACTAGTTTGC